GAGTAGCCTAGCAGTGTGTCGTTGTTAACAAATTGGCAGCCGCTTCTTTCCCTTTCTAAGTGTCTGTGAAGAGGATTAAGATAATTTACTAGTTGAGTTAGGAACTACTAGTAGATTTGTAGTATTATTATTCACTCTTGATTACTATGCATGATAGAAATCTCGAGCTCATAATCTTATGCAAGTCTCCAGGGTTGGGTGGGGTTAGTAAAATATTTCTTTCTTGTTTAACAAGTTAAAAGCCTTAAATTTGTGTCATCAGAAAAACTGAGATCATGTTTTAGTTAGAAAACTTATTGTCTGTGATTAAACATATTAATGTCTAGTTTGAGAGAGCTTTTTGTATTTTGAGGTAAAATACATTGCAGAATGTAATTGACTTGTCAGTGGTTTTCTCAGTATTTTTGTAAGATTTATTACTAAAATGTAGTTTTTCTGTCAGTAAAATAATGCAGCAAATCATGTAAGTATATTTGTTGCAGTTTAATACCCAAGAATTACTTATTTCTGTCACTTCTCTTGTAATTATTGCAACATACTTTTTTTAGTGAATAAAGTTTAATATACATGTCNTGGCGTCATTTGACTACAACTACCAGAATCCTTCACTTTTTCTGTTTCTTTATGCTAATTGGGGCAATTGTTATTTAAACCCCACTGACAATTCAAAATCTAAATAATAAAGAAAACACGAAAGGAATTCTGGTAGTTGTAGTCAAATGACGACAACGTGCAAATCTGCTATTCTTTGCGTTTTCGAAGAGTCTGTGAAGTGGATTTAGGTAAAGGTTTGAACGACTAGTAGATTTATACTAAAACAATTAGATTGTTAGCGCTCAATTTATATGCGATAGAAATCTCGAGCTCATAATGTAATTGTTGAATACAGTTACCAAACTCTAGGGCAATAAACTGCTTCTATAACTTATTGAACCTGTCTGAAAACTATACACAAACAATATCCAAGCTCCAGTGAGCATAAAAACACCTAAAATTGAAATATTACCTCGACCTAAAACTACTTTTTGGTTAAATTATCTATCTAAGGGAAATCATCAAAAACTAAGCATACGTACACACGAAACTAGATTACTGGTCAAAAGAGTAATTAAATTACACGCCAGTGATAACACATTATGTGGCCAAAAGCCGTACTTTTGACTCGTCGAACGAGAAGTACTCAACAAAATGAGAGAACTAAAGATATGACTCTACAAAAAGTCAATGTTGAAATATCCTACCTGCCTACAATCATTATAAGGTTTTGAATGATGGAAAACTAGAGCTAAAGCCAACGGTATTCAAATGAATAGCTCATACTTTGTGCGAGAAAAATGTACCACAAGCCAATCAGAATTTGAAGCAAATAACATATAGAAAACCGACAGGGCAAGGTTGCGGTTGTTTCTCCTAATTTTTGGTTTTTCAATAAACACCGCAGCAAGCAAGGTTTTCTCCAAATAAATTGCGTATAAATCATCAAGAAACGGGACATTTTAAAGCTTGCACAAAACCGAATGCACGTTATAAATTCCAGGTCTTTCAAAGTACAGACCCTCCTACCCACCACATGAGGTTGTGAGATACATATTACTTATGTACAAAGGCTTTCAAGCGGTATACCATGGAATATCCCACGAGTCACCTATATTTTCTCAGTATACACACAGGCCTTTAGGCGAGTGCTTATACCAAGAAAATTCAAGTGATCAGTGGGATATCCCATGGTATACCACGAGAGAGCGTTGCACAACTATTTTATACCATGCCATTGAAAATACAGTGACCAACATAATGAATGCGATATACGCGCGGCGCACGATGGGAAGGTTGGGTGTAATACTGTTCAATATACAACGGCTTTTCGGTATTCTGATTGGTTGTATTCTCTGTGGCATGGTTTAAAGAAAAATATAACTAATATAAAAGTACCCAGTGGAGAATGAACATGCTTTGCATTTGACGGAAAATTCCGGTTCGTATTCCAGAAAATTTACAGTAGCGAACGGAATATTATTTTCTGGAACTTTTGGAAAAGAGGACAACCTCGCGAGGTATACCTAAATTTTGGAGAAGTTCTTAATACTGGGAATTTCCGCTCCAATAGATTTTCCGCTCAAAATGTCCGGAATTTTCAGTTGAATTGCTATTTCCAAAAACCTTTCAGGGAAATTTCCATTGATACCATTTACCCTCGAGTTGAAAGTTCCGGATTATTTTGTTGAATGGAAATTAGTTCCCCTTTGCCTGTCCATTATTTGCTTTCTCAATCGAGAGGTGGTCTTCTAAGACCCTTACAATATCAAACCGCTTCATGTTGTCTTCTTTAAGAATCTTACAGAAGCTGTAAACCGTTAAGTCTGGTTTAGATCCCC